AGGCAATTCAAGATCGGAGATTGGGTGCTGCGCAAAGTGATGGGAAACACCATGATACCAGGGGATGGCAAGTTAGGGCCTAATTGGGAAGGACCTTACAAAGTGGTTGGACTAGCAGGCAAAGGGGCATACCACTTAGAAGATGAGGACGGCAAGGCAATTCCCAGGCCATGGAATACTGCCAACCTCAAGTTATTTTATTTTTAGCTTTTTTTCTTTAAGTATGTGTAATTTTTTCCTTTCTTAATAAAACAAGTAGTTTCTTTTCAATATAGACGTTTCCTTCTGTAAAAGTTTGTTTTAATGAGTTAGGTGAGTTAGGGGTATTAAAAACACAGTTGGCCGGAATAACCAACTGCGACCCTTCCTAAGCCCAGGATAAGGATCCAGGCTGCAGGACGTTTGGTCAGAATAACCAAACATTTTATTCTAGGTTGGCTAGAAAAACCAACGTAGAGGTTGGCTGGATTAAACCAACACCCTTCCTAAGCCCAGGATAAGAATCCAGGCTGCAGGACGTTTGGTCAGAATAACCAAACATTTTATTCTAGGTTGGCTGGAAAAACCAACTTAGAGGTTAGTTGGATTAAACCAATACCCTTCCTAAGCCCAGGATAAGGATCCATGTTGCAAGACGTTTGGTCAGAATAACCAAACATTTTATTCTAGGTTGGCTGGAAAAACAAACTTAGAAGTTGGCTGGATTAAACCAGCTCTTATTACTCTTCAACCGAAGTAAGGACATCGGCTAAAAAGTGGTTGGTTGGATTAAACCAACTTTTAGTATTCTTCAGCCGAGGTAGGGCACTCGGCTAAAGAATGATTGGCAGGTATACTTATAGTTGCAATGAAAAGACCGAGATAAAGTATCTCGGCAAGAGAATGTTGTACCTCATGCAAGACATCAGTTAGAAAGTAAAGGTATAAGCATAAAGATCAACCGAAATAAGGATCAAAGCCAAAGAGGCTGGAAAAACCAAACTCTTATTATGCTTCAACCGAGATATAAATCTAGGTTGAAGCGGTTGGCTAGTATGGCCAGTCTGATTACAAAATTAAAACCGGGATAAATTATCTCGGCAAGAGAATGCACTACTTCATTCAAACTATAGTAAAAAACAAGTAGAGCAGCAAACCGAGATAACAGTTAGAGCAATAGAAGATTTTTTCATTAGCAAAGTTTAAAGCAAATACAAAGGAGGGGCCCTAACCCGGTTACAAACTTTTTTTCCAACAAAAGGAAGAAAAATACAAAGTCGGTCAAACAGGTCATCAAGATCGGCATCAATATCTACACGGAGCCCGGTTTCATTTGGTAGCGCGGTCTCAGTTGGATGAACAGTTTTAGTAGGCAGCTCGCTGGTTAGGTCTTCCACCAATGGCTCCAATCGAACTAATTGTTCGACAGGGTCATTGACAACCGAAGTATCCTTTGGCGCAACTCCTTCTTCATCATCTGAGTCTTCAAGAAATTGTTGCTGGAGAGCAGCAACATATTCCATCATAGAGCCCGAAATGAAGTATGCTGGAGTGTTAAAGACCTGGGTCCCTGGACCATGGCCGAGCTGCTCTACAGCCGCCCTCCAACCGCACTTGAAGAAGAGATCCTTGGCAGCTTCACATTGTTTAATGTAAGTCACCTCCCCCTCCTTGAAACCCCGGAGCTCGGCATCATCAGCATCCTTCTTCAGCTGCTCTATCTCGGCGTTTTTCTTGCCCTCAAGTTTAGCAAGTTCGCGCAAATATTTGTCTTTGATCACGGCTGCAGCTTTTTGTTTTTCTTCTTCAGCCGAGCTAACAAGACCGGCCAGATGACCGTTCTCGAATTTTAGCTCGGCTAGCTGCTTCCTAGCCTCTTCTAGCTCTGCAGTTTTTTCTGTCACTTCGGCCAGCGCTTGCCTTGTAGTCTTGCGAAGTTCAAGCACTCGCTTGTGAGCGATATGGCTCTTCTGCATAGCCTGCAAAAAGAGGGAGAGACTTGTAATCAAACCGAGATAAAAGTTGTGCAAATTAAAAAGATTAACAGAAGAAGCTACTTACAAGCACCATGGACTTCGTGGCCGAACGAATGGCCCTTAGTTCGGTCAGGTGCTGGTGGTGCTCCATGTCTGCTGGAAGGCAAACACTCTTGGCAAGGTTAAATGCCATTAAGTGATCTTTTTCAGTGACCACTGAGTCTGTGTCCTGAATATCACGGTTTTGAAATACAAGTTTGGGTGCCCACTTGGAGGAGCTGGCCCGGTCAGAATGCTCCGGCTAAGGGCTCGGTGGAGGGCTCAGTGGAAGAGTGGTTTCATCTTCATCAACAAGGCGTTGCTCGGTTTGGGTAGTCCGGGCACGCTTGCTGGGGCGAGATGAGGAGGGTTGTTGAGATGGAAGAGCCACCACGGTCTCTTGAGTCTGGGTGGTTGGTGGTACTTCGGCTAGATGTGTTTCGGTTAGGAGGGCCCTCACTCTGTTCCTCTTCGCCATTTCTTCGTCAATAGTAGTACGGACTAGGATGATTTGTGACAAGGTCGGGTCCGGTTCAGGAGAGGCCTCTAGCAAAAAATCTGTTACTCTGGCTTTTCGTCGGCTGCTATATCTATACGTCGGCACAAAATTCAGTAACTTGGCCCAACTTCTTTCAGGGTATCGTAGTGCGGCGCGAAGTGTGTTTAGATTAAGGTAACTGTATAGTGATTTCAGGTGGGCTGAATCTGCATAAAGAAGACAACTGTCAGTTCGGTTAAGGAATAGAATACCGAAACAAAACAGAAGCATGCAAAGAAACCGAAGTAATTATACTGGGGGTTCCTTTATCCTAGTTTATACTGCGGCCTAGGATCTGGGCTTGGTGGTCTTCGAAATTGCCAGATACCCAGAAAAAACCGTCATCATTTAAGTCTTTGTCCGGTGTGTCCTTTATTATTTTCTCACGCCGGTGTCGTATTCTTAAATAATAAACCCACCCGTCTTCTTTTGAGCCTATAGAATATTGGTGAAAGAGTTCGGCTAAGCCGAGGTTAATACCATTTCAAACGGGATGGAGTTGGGATATTATTGTGCCCAAACACAAGGAGCCTAATTGTCCTTCTTGGGTGGGCCTATTTATAGAACGTCAAGATGATTTAAATTATTTATCTTATAGAATAGGTAGAAGATTATTTATATATATATATATATTAAAAAAAATAAATTAGTTGGACTTGGATAACTACGTAATCATATTACATTTGTCTTTTAAAAAAAATTAACCATAAATTTGATTTTGAGAAAAAAAATTTAATTTTTTAAAAGCAAATATAATTTAGTTATATAACTACTAATATCTAATTAATTTAGTTTTTACATGAATTGTTCATAAGGTTTACAAGTTAAATAGTTCAAATCATCTTTATGGAGCCTGGAGTAGACTCCATTTAAGTGGAGCTCACATTTTAAGATTTGTTTAGAAATGTAAAATATAAACAGTCATACGGTGTCCCACATCTATTTGAATTTTTTTAACTATTTATATTGTGGGATTTGTTGAATAGATTCACATCTATGTGAATGATTTTAACTATTTATATCATGGGATTTATTGAATAGATTATTTATAAAAATAAAAAAAATAAAAAACTTACATATAGGTCCTAATAAGTAAATTTATTGTCCAATAGGTCCTATGATAATTAATGGTATTTTTCATCAAATACTATAAAAAAAGTCACTAATTGTTAATTTTCAATAACAGTTTGAAATTTTTGTCATAAAAAATGTCACTAATTATAAATTTTAACAATAGTTAAAAAAGTTACTAATTTTCAACTTTTGACAACAATTTAAAAAATTTATCCCAGAAAAACATCACTAATGCTAAGTTTGACAATTTATGAAACCGTAACAAAAAAAAAAAGTCATTAATTGTCAATTTTTAGCGACATGTGTAAAAAATCGTTACAAAAAAATTATTTTTAACGACGATTTTACTAGAACTTATTTTCAATAAGATTTGATGGGATTTAAGTCAAATTAAGAGGACCTATTAATAGTTTACCTTAAAACAATCAAGTTAATTGGACATCTGTAACCTCATAATAAAATTACATTTATATTTAAATAAAATAAACAATTAGCATGATTTTCATAATCTTTTAGAAAATAATTAAGGCTTAATCATATGTTTATTGAAAGGGTAATTTATACTTATAAATTGGGCCGAGCTGGGTAATGGGCCGTTATGGGCCACATTGCGAAGGGCTGAGTAAAAAGGTTATGAAGTTACTCCGGCCCAAAAGAGGTGTAAAGTTACTCCGATCCGCAAGAGACCTGAAGTTACTCCGGTCCCAAAGAGCTTATGGTAAGTTTGGTCGTCGTTCACAAAGTTATCCTGGTTTGGGCCGGAGTATTGGTTATTCCGGTCTAGACATACCACGGTTAGCATTAAGAAGAGCCAAGGTAAGAGCAGTGAATGGAAGAGCCGAGCTAGTGTTATCTCAGTTTAGTCTGCGGCTTAGCATAGCCATGCTTACCTCGGTCATGTTGAAGTCTGACCATGGTAGAACCATCTCACTTGGTTTATGCAGTAAGGGGGGTGTTGAAGGATAAGTATTCTCTTTCAGGAGTATGAATCCTAGGAGGACTCTACATGGAAGAGTAAAAGTCCTACTAGGATTGTGCCACGCGGAACCTATAAAAGCTTACAACATCACCTATGGAGAGAGAACACACAACTTTGATTCTCAAATACACAGAGCTTTTTTGTCTTTGTCCATTTTGCTGACTTAGGCATCGGAGAGGTATCCGGCACACACCCGCCAGCTAGCTCACGTTTGTGTTTTCAGGGAGTAGAGTGACGACGCTTGGAGAAGCGCAGACTTGATCAACAGGATTATACGAGAAGGTTTATTTCTTTCCCGTACATTTATGCATGTCTAATTAATTTTATTTTTCATATATAAATAATATAAATCTTATAATATGAATCATATTAAGTCCAGATAAACTCGGGTGGGCCATGGATCATATTAGCAGAGTTACGTACCTTGATTGTCAATCCAACCACTAAATAAATTATAAGACAAGTTGAGGTTTCGGAGCTCTTTGAAAGGAAGGAAGACAGAGGCATTTATGAACCAAATTCTGTTTTGGTGGTATTCTCTGAAATCTTCTTCAAATCCGAAAAATCCACTAGACCTGTAAAAATATTCATCGCCTGATATATCTCTTATATTATGCAGAGAGAGCTCAGTCACGTGCCCAGTGGTAGGATCGCATGAGACTCTCTCCCAATCACAGCACTCATTCAGATGATGATCTGCTGGTTTCTCAACCCAGGTAGGGAGGATACGATCTGCATCAGCACCGTTGGATTTGAGGAAGTCCTTGAATTCCAATAGACCCCTCCTCTCTCCTTCCAAGCAACCACCACTGTGTCCACTGAAATGAATCAAAACTATTAGTACCCACATAATACCAAACATGCCCAGAAAAACGCAACCCATTTATGCAAAAATTAAAAAAAAAAGAACTATATGAATGTAACCAACATATAGTTTGTATATATATAACAATCTATGCTACATTTAGTTCTTTGTATATATATAACAATGTATGCTGTGTATATGCAAAGCTTGATATAACATACTTGGATTGGGTTGTACAGGTGGCAAGCATCCCGTGGATCTATGGCTGATAATTATGGTTGGGTGTCCTCCTCAGGACTTTGATTATTCTTGTTGGAAAAATGGTTTGGAAACTATTAATAGTTGAATGGGAAATTAATTCTAAAATGTATCATTTGAGAATAGTTTTAAGACAATATTTATTTAATGTAAAATTTGATTTTATTTAAATAAATTCGTTAATTTTTTGGGTCAAAATTGAACATGATTCGATTTAGAATTCGAATACTTTTAAAAGAAGGATCATGCCTTTTTAGTTGTACCTTTTCATGAAAAAGATGTGACTCTTTTGAAAAGTCTCCATAACCGTTCAAAGAGTTACCAATTCATTTATATAAACAGGCCCCATTGCATTCATTAAAAAATATATATATATATCATTTCTTCTGCACTCTATCTTTACTATAAAAGAATTCTACATAGTAAGATTTGCCAGACTTGCCGTGGTAGTGCTGTTTCTGCAAAATTCGATCGTTGTATCTTAGAAGATAAACGTCCAATAAAAACTCGTAAGCACCATAGCGGGGCACGAATTTGTATTAAGGAAATTGTGTCCAACACAAGTCTCGATCAAATTGTTATCGATTCAAGATTTATACAATCTGTTTATAAGTTTTTATAGTTCTTATATATGGTTTGGTTTGGTTTTAGCCAAACAATTTACATTGTTTTCAACTTATATTTTTTATATAATTTGGTAATATATTTAGTGCAATGATTATGTGTTTCACACAGTACACATAAGGAATTATTCCTACAATCTTAAGACAAATTTGCATAAGAATATTTTTTCTTGTTTGCCTGTTCACATAAAATACTAAATTTTCTTTTGTGATTTTTCTAGATACTACACATCTATATTATTGATTTCTGATTTACTCTTAGAATATTTTATGATTAAACTGTGTGTACATGCGTAATTGTTATACTTTAATGGTGCTTATTTGTCATGATACACGTCTTCAAGTTTCGTGTCGAAACTGCACCAGATCAAAAGTTGTGAGTTTCTTTCCTAACTACTAGTGTTGAATAAATAGGCTTGTGTATTTACTTCTTATGCCATGTTTGGAAGTTTGCTTTTAGTGAATGAAATTTTCATTTTGATTGGTAGAGAATACTGGGAACTTACCAATTTGGGTGGGCTGATTATGATTATACTTTTTGGGTATAGAATATACATATTTGAATTAATCATATTTTGTGGATTGATTTTCATAGTTAGTATAATCCATTGGATGATGGTTTTCAAAGATTTACAAAAAAATTGACTTATCCATTTTTATATTTATTTATTGTTCATTGATGTATTTAATTGTTTTTATCATTCATTGATTTTCACACGAACGCACTTAGTGGTGTCTATCATGATGATGATGAAGTAATGAAGAACATCTATTATAAATAATGTAGCCTATTTTCATTTGAAAGGTTGTTTGTCATTTATGCAGAATTTCTCAACATTTATAATAGTACCATTGTGCCTTTTTCTTACTTGCTTCTTTTGTGTGAGCATTTTATATCCATTAATGATGGTTAACAAATTATAATATTCTTTTACCTTCTTTGATAAATATATGGCGATCCTAAATTGAGTGCTTCTAAACTAATTTTGTTTTTTTGTTTTTTTTAAAGAGTATACATCATGTAAATGTCATATATATATATTTTTTGTTATGGTAGTAGCATATTTGCATCATCATGGCAGTTGTTAACATCTTAGAACTTTAAATATGATTATTTAAATAGTGGTGTCATTTCATTTAATTGAATATGAATCGTGAAATCTTTTGATAACCATACAAATGAATAGATTATTATTTTATTAATAATCATAGTTTTGAATTTTGTGACATAGGTTGTCATAAATAATTATGAACCTAGTGTAGTAGAATTGGTTTAACCATGAATTCAAAAATCTCATTTAATTGTATAAAATTTTTAAATGCATTCAAGAAAAAAATAGTTGTACAATGCATTTAAGAAAAAGTACTTGTACATCCAAATTCAAATTTAAACTCTTAAATTTGAATACTTCTTGTTCGAGTTTCTATGAATAACATGTCATAAATCATGATTAGCAGACAATTTTGCTTCTTTCCCCCACATTTGTGATAATACATAAATTAACACAAATAACATGACTCATTTCCAAACAAGTGTTACTGTCACAATGACTCATTCTTGATAAATTAATCTTTTA